GTTAGGAAAGCATGTAATCATGATTCTGAGGAAAATTTAAGTATTTATTATTAATTGCAAATTGGGATTTTGTGTTTCATATAAAGAAAGCTTGATGTGAATATGGATGCCTTTTGTCACTAGGTTGTATTTTTAAACTTCATGATACATTAATTTAGGAGTAGTCACAGCATCCTAAGGACTTGAGAATTTATGATTAATAAGGAAATAACTTATAAAATTTTTACTTAGCACCACAGGGAGGTAATAGTTTTGTAAGCTAATAAGTACAGTAGTAGTAACTAAAGTTTTAAATTCAATTTCCTAGTCCCATAGGTATGGCAATTTCTAGAATTACTACTACTATCATTATTTCAAGTTTTGTAAATTCTATGCTAGTTGCACCTATGCCCACAGGAAAGGTAAGAATTTACAATTAAAAAAATTATTTCATGGAAATAGATATGATTGTGTCCATTTTCATTTTGCAGCAATTCCTAACTCTTTAGCTAAGGATGTCCCAATACTTTCTGGTGACAATTTTGTTGATTGGAAGGAGAAAATCCTTTTGTTTCTTGGCTGTATGGACCTTGACCTAGCACTCAGGGTGGATGAACCTCCTATTCAAATCTGAACATGAAAAGTGGGAGCGTTCTAATCACTTAAGCTTAATGCTTATGAAATCTTCTGTGAGCAAAAGTATTAGGGGTTCTATTCTTGAAATGGATAAGGTCAAGGATTTCTTGAAAGCTATTAAGGAATAATTTGTCACATCTGACAAGGCTGTTGCCAATACTCTTATAAAGAAACTTTCTAGCATGAAGTATGACCGTTCTAAGGATGTGTGTGAGCACATAATGGAAATGAGATACATTGCTGCCAAGCTAAAGTCCTTAAAAGTTGAAATGTCAGAATCCTTCTTGGTGCACTTTGTGCTAAATTCCCTTTCTCCTAAGTTTAGTCCTTTTAAGATTTCCTATAACAGACATAAGGATAACTAGTCAGTGAATGAACTTTTGACCAAGTGTGTTCAAGAGGAAGAAAGATTGAAACATGATGAGTTTAATTTTGTTATGCATTTATCTACCCTTTTTGTGCTTAAAATTTAATTTTATGGGTCCTTTGTAACTTAGTCCCACCTTAATTTGCATCAATTTCATTGTTTGTAGGTGAAAATTAAAATATGAATTAATTTTTCAATAAGTGACAATTTGCACATGCTATAGTAACTTAATCATATCTTTTTCTCCAGGCATCAAATTGAGATGATTCTTGAGGCATTAGAAAGCTAAGAAGCAGAGCTACAATTGATCTTTCAGAAGCTCAACCCAGTTCAATCAGTATCAATACAGAATTTCAGTTGAATGCATGGGTTTGACAGAAGAAGGCTGTGCAGATTGCAAGAAAAAATAAATGGGCTGTGTTTTCAGGGTGTGGGCTGGTAGCAGACCAGGCCCAAAAAGGTTAAAAAAGCCCTTGTCAAGAGGAAAAAGGAAACAAGTGGAAATATTTTAGATATATTGTGCTCTGCGAACAAAAAATTCATGAGAGAAGACGAAGCCCCCCAAAATCTGTTCGCAGACGAGGACCAAAGGGACGCCGCCAGCCAGATCTGCAGAAGGACGCGCACAGCTTCTGTTTTCCTTCTGTCCTCTTGTGTTGCTTCTCAAAAATTCTGCAGAGGAGGACGATCCAAACCGAGGCGCAGACGCAGTAGCTTCTGTTTTGTTTCTCTTCCCCGACAGCCTTGCTTAGGAAATCACCACAGCAGCACACCATTGAGGACGCAGTGCAGTTCGGCTTGCTCTTCATTGGGACTGGTTCTATCTATTTTTAAATTCGATTTTTATCATGATTTTCTGCTGGGTTTTCCGAATTATGGCTGTCCAGAACTCATCCTAGATTCTTTGAACTAGGATGGATTTTAATTTTTGGATTATGTGATTTTTTTTTGTTTAACTCAAGATTATTGATTATTTACATGATGAGTTTATGTTATTTAGCTTAATGTATTGGGAATTAATTTAGTGATTTATGCATAAATTTAAAAAAAAAATTACATAAGTTAGATCAATAATAATATAAATTGTGTTTTAAACGTAAACGTAATTAGCTCACATGTGGTTGTGGTGGTTGTGGAGGAAGAGAAAGAAAAGAAGAGAGATAGTAGCTCTTCTTCTTAAGTTAGAGATTTTCATAGAATTTAATGCTCATTAGTTTGTTTAAAATTACATAAAGATATCAGGATTAGCTTGAGAAAATTGGTTAATTTAGGAAAATCCAACAGTTACATAATTTAAAATTAAATGAAATTTAAGTCCTAATTCCTTCCCATTCATAGTTTCTTTAACGGAGTAATTTCTTTAGTTTAAGAAGTTTTCTTTAGCGTTACCCCGTTAATTGGCTAATTCAACTTAAGTTAGATTAATATTAGTTTTACTCATCTTATACTGCATAATTGATTAAATTCACTTGCTTAAAAATAGTGCATATTTGGTGCATCAAAACATGAGAAATTGGATGAAAAGCAAGAGGTTGCTCATCTTATCACTCAATGAAAGGGAGAAACTTCACTACTTATTATGTCATGCATTACAATTTTATGCATTTATTTTTTTATAAATTTTAAGCATTTATTCATCTTTATTTATTTTAACACATTATATTATATTATATTATATTATATTATGTATATAATCAAAACTAATAATAATGATAAAATAATTAAAAATATAAAGATAGAAAGGAGAAGACAAAGAACATGAAAAGATAAAAAGGTTGAATTAATATTATTAAGGTTTAAGTACCATTTTAGTCCCTCAACTTATCATTTTGGTACCAAAATTGTCCCTTA